TGGCTTCTCCGTTGACTTTGCTTATCAGTAGCCAGCAAATGATGATCACATGACCATGGGATACTATAACCATCCTAAACATATGCCAATTGCAAGCACCCTAATTTTGATCACAAGACCGTATGGATACTGCCCCGGTTGTAAGTAGGAGGAGTATCTTTTTTCAGTGCCATTGTAACTTTGAACGGTCGCTAAATGAATGGATGTAAGTCAAAAACTACCTATGAACCACAGGTAAACACAGCATCATTGAGTGCAGCAACAGAAATGATGGATTGAGGTTTGCACCCTTAATAAACCCTCCTCTAAATTTGTTAGCCTTAAGATAAAACTCTTTAAAAAAAAATTACATAAATAATTAATCTTGCTCAAGTCCTAAAACATAAACCTACCAGGTTTTGTCACTGTGATTCTGGAAAGGTGGAAATTATAGATCATGCTCTTCTTCACTGCTCCTTTTACAATACTATACAGGATTTCCTTTCATGGGCGGGGGTTGGATTGGAAGACCTCAAGATACCTTCCAACGTTGTTATTCTGTGTCCTATGAAGACTGAGCCGACCAACAAAGTTTGATTTTTGGTCTTCAGAACAGCTGGTGAGGAGGAATCCATTAGTTTCAGGATTCGAAGAGACATAAATGCTGTGGGCAGAGTGTCTGGTCATTGGGGTCCAATCTAGCATTGAGGGCCCCTCCCCATTTATCTCTGGAAGGGCTGGGTGTTCCATCACTGGAGGTGTTTAAGAAGAGACTGGGCAGAAATTGGACTATAGAGGGGTTGGACTAGAAGATCTTCAAGGTCCTTTCCAACCCTATTATTCTATGTTCTATCAATCAGATTTATTCTCAGTCTGATCAGCAGATCTCCTGATGAGACTATATTGAGTTGAGTTGCCTTTTCTTACAATGCCTGTGGGTAGGTTTTGTGCTTGCAGTTTATATTTTATATCTTTTCGAGTAATTGTATATATCACACTTGACACAAATTTTAGCTCTTGTTACATTTTTGTAATTTTAGATGTTATCCCATTTTATATCATTTTAGATACTGCCTTAGGCATCCATTTTTCCTTGTGGGCTTCACTTATACATTCTAATCAGGCTGTTGTATAGATGCACTTTAATTTTGTTTTGAATTTTATTTACAACCTCTTTAGATGAATTAATTCTGAGCACCCAGGATTACATTACATACACTGGACTAAGATTGTGATAGACTGACTGGCTGACTCCTAAAAGATAAATAGGAGATGGTTTTAAGCCTGGTGCTGGTTTTCATGTCCATTACTGCCACAATTAATTTCATTCAAGGTTTAAACAGTGGAGCTGCCCCTGAGGTTTTATGCACAGGTAGTGAGCATGGGAAAAGATCCTCCCTCCCTTATTGTGTCCAAGTCCTGAATGCTTTACTTTCTCTTCTCCAACCTAGCTTGCCTGTGTTCCAATTAAGAACCACAAATGCAATATTCTCTAATCCTGTAAGCCTCCTATTACATAACCCGAGTCTTTGTATAAAATCTAATAGCCTTGGCCCATGCCTCACATTTTTGGAATCTCTAGTTATTTACCCTTTTCTAAGGATCCGTTTAAAGAGAGGAAAAAGTTGCACTGGCCTGCAGCTTTCTCACCAAGGGAACTCGCAAAATGAATTGGGCAATGACTGGTGTGATGTCTCAATTAGTACCTTGGCTTCTAAACAGATACTAAATTGATGCTTGTAACTATATATATATTATATATATTATTTGGAGGCAGCCTAGAGCAATTACGGGGTTTGTTTCTTGAGAGCTAAGATGTACGAACAGCTCTTTTACAAAGCACTAATCATTATATATGACAACTGCAGTCAGGTTATTATTATACGCTCAATGCTGGAAAGGCCCAATACTACAGAGGAATGTTAGGTGAAGACAAGGGGATTTGCAGAGATAGCTAAATTGTCAATAAGGTAATCCTTGACTTATGGCCATCCATTTAATGACCATTCAAAATTACAATGGCACTGAAAAAAAAGTGACTTACGACCATTTTTCACATTTACGATTGTTGTTGCAGCTTCATGGTCACTTGATCAAAATTCAGATGCTTGGCAAGTGATTCATATATATGATGGCTGCCGTGTCCTGGGCAGTGGTGGGATTCAGCCAGTTCACACCACTTCAGGAGAACGAGTTGTTAACTTTCTGAACAGTTTGGTGACCTGGTTGTTGGAATAAATCATTAGGGCAGAGAACTAGTTGTTAAATTATTTGAATCCCACCACGGGCCCCGGGGTCATGTGACCCCCTTTTGCAACCTTTTGACGAGCAATGTCGGTGAAGAAGCCAGACTGACTTAACAACCTTGTTACTGACTTAACAGCTATGGTGATTCACTTAACAACTGTGGCAAGAAAGATGTTGTGGTTTGCTGGCAGCAGGTGCGGATGGCTGAAGTCTTGGAGAGCGAGGGGCCTGCGTGTGAGGAAGGACCATCAGGGAGTAGAGTGCTGCCTTTGGAGATTGTGGAGGCTGGCAGCAACGATGAAGAGGCCCCCGAGGAGCCTGTGCCCAGCACGAAGGGCTGCTCGAAGGAAAAAGCACCTGCAGCAGCATGGGCGACTCGGGAGTAAGGCCAAGTCCATTACCATTACAAGGTAATGGCCCCTCCCCGAGAAGATAAAAGCCAGCTGAGAAATTACAGTTCTTTGCAGAAGGCAACGAAGTTTGATACTCGAGCCTGGTGGATGTCAGAATATCTGAGTTGGTGTTTGGAGACTCTTTTGATTTGTTGTTTAGGAACTTTATCTGTTGTTTTTGGCAGCCTTGCAAAAACTTGGCAAGGCTCTTTCTTGTTGGAGCTAATTAGTAGGAAGCAGCCTTTTATCTGTGAAGGAACAGGATTCGTAAATGAAACAGTAAAAAGTTGTGCTGTTACCTTTGTCTTGTGCTTACTCTCTTGGAACCAGGTTTGGGTCAGAACAAAAGGTCACAAAATGGGATAAAATTCACTTAACAATTGTCTCACTTAACCGCAGAAATTTTGGGCTCAATTGTGGCCGTGAGTCGAGGACTGCCTCTATTGGCTATTCCCCTTTATGGTTTTACTCGCCTGAAAATGCTTCCTAGCTAGACTCCAATTATACTTATTGGTGAAAATCCTCTACTCTGATTTCTACCGTATTGTATTGCTGGGGTGTTAAGCAGGGGTCTTAACTCCTACCTCGAGTCGAAGGAGCCCATTCTACAGCTATATCCAGGGACGGGGGCTGCTGGGGGTTCGCAGGAGTTCAGGAGATCCCCTAGCTAAGATTCTGCATCGTTTGGAGAACCTGCAAATCCCACCCCAGGCTGGCCCCTGCCCCTCCTGCCCAGCCCCAATCCCGGCCCCCTCCCAGAAGTCCCCACGTAGCCCGTTTTGGTAAGTGCAGGGCGCGTGCAGACGCTTGGGGAGGGCGAAAAATGGGCCTCCAGGAAGGCCAGAAACAGGCCCATTTCCGGCTTCCAGAGAGCCTCCGGAGCCCGGGGAGGGCAACCCCCCCCCCTCCCCGGCTGTGGTGCAGGAGGTTTACTAGGCCACGCCCACCATGGCCACGCCCATCCAGCAACCAGGCAAAGAACCTCTTGCTAAAATTTTTGAAGCTCACCCCTGGTTATATCAGTTCCAAAAAGGAAAGCAAAACGCTGGAATTTCCCTTCCAGAAGGTCAGAAGCTGATTCTTGGGACTGCATGCTTTAACCTGCTGTTTCAGTCACTTAGCAGGTCCCGCGGGAGCCTTTTCCGTAAATAAAATGCTTGTGTGACAGACAACACCTGGTTGTTTGCCAACTGTTGCACTTCCTCCCCTGCTCAGATTTCATTCATTCACAAGTGAGCAGGATGACCTTTTTGGACCAGCAAAGCAGAAGAAAGCGAGAAGTAGGATATGAAGGTGGCATTTTATAGGATGCGTTTCCTTATTTTCAAAACCAATTGGGATTGAGTTGAGGCACGGTTGATTTAAAGTAGTTTCTCTGCTGTGAGTTTATCGAATATTTTGGAAATCCAGCCAGCCTTTGGACAGAGATGTTGGTAGCTGAAGAAAAATAGAGCTAGAGTCCCTGATCCAAAATCTAAATTAGATAAATATATTCTCCCTTGCTGCAACAATTAAAAAAATGCAATATATTCGCATTAGGTTAAATATGTAATGCATGACACAGAAAGGAATAAAATCCACACAACCTGACTGCCAACATAACTTATGTCCCCAAAGTTACTTATGTGCATGAGCTGTGGTGGCTCAGTAGTTAGAATGCAGTATTGTAGGATGATCCTGCCCACTGCCAGAAATTTGATTCTGACCGACTCAAGGTTGACTCAACTTTCCATCCTTCTGAAGTTGGTAAAATGAGGAGCCCGATTGTTGGGGGTCAAATGCTGATTCTGTAAACCCCTTAGAGAGGTCTGTAAAACAGTAGGAATAAGTCTAAGTGCTTTTGCTATTTCCAATAGTTTGCCACTTTATAATTGATTACTTTGGATTTCAGTGTTTTGGGATTCAGGGGTCTAGGGCAGGGGTCTCCAACCTTGGCAACTTTAAGCCTGGAGGACTTCAATTCCTAGAATTCCCCAGCCAGCAAGCTTAAAGTTGAAGACCTCCAGGCTTACGGTTGGAGACCCCGGTCTAGGGTTGAAGGTGTTTTTCTGTATCTCTTTCTGAAAAACCACTAGGAGGGTTTGCGGGATGCTATGTGATTCATATCGGTCCAGTTTGAATAAATGATATTATGTTGTATTGACTCATTTTGGACAAGAGGAAGTCAACAGCTCTGGCTTTTCCAGTAAGGAGAGGCCAAAGCTATTTTTTGCTTCGTCACAAGCTGAGATTTAGTGTCCAATGTAAGATGAGCCACATTTTGCAACTGAATATAAGTTGTCCAAATCACCATCAAATGAATGTTTTCGGAGGAAGATGAGTTACCGTTAGAGGTGCCAAATTGTTAACTTTTGTTCTTGTTTCCTTTTGTTTTTTTTACAGGGTGGGAAGAAATTTTACCATGGAGTCTGTGGGGGTCGCGATTGTACAGCCGGCTGCAAGTGCTTCCCCGAGAAAGGCGCTCGGGTAAGATGAAATGAGATAAGACAACCTTCATTGTCACTTTTTTTCTGTGAACACACTGGCACATATTAAAAAATTGAAATTCTGATGCCCACTCTTAAAAGAAAATAAATATATAATCATACATATACATGCACACACACACACACACACACACACACACACACACACACACATATATATATATATATACATATACATACACATACACACACACACACACACACACACACACACACACATATTAATCACAGTCCATTTTGAATACATAACAGAAAAAAGATAACTGTTGGCCCCTGTCAAGCAGCCCCTATTTGTCATGTCCTGGATAGAAGGAAGTGAATTTCCAACAATTGTAAATGGCTCCTTTTTAGTTTGATGAAGAACAGCCTTCACCTCATTTTGGCCTTGAAGAAAACACGGAGATCCTTAATGCCCGGAGCATTAAGGCAAGAGCTGTGAAGAAGAACAGCTGAAGGAGAAAGGCTGGATCCAGCCAACTCTTGAGAATTTCCCATGGAAGCCCTGCAGCCCATCTACAGAGATTTCATCGAAGGCAGCCAGTGAACAGGGGAAAAGAATAATGTTGATTAATCTGCATGTACATAGGAAGTAGTACATGATTTATAAGTCTCTGGGAAGTCAGTGTAGGTCACAACTCTTCCTGTTACTGAGATGATCCCTCCTTCCTCTGTTGGCTGCACTTACAGCTCATTGCTGCTTGATGGGTGGGCTGAAACATTTGGTGTAAGCAAGGCGATGTTCTAGTGGACCATAAGGGGGGAAATGTAGTTTTCTGGTATGTACAGGAGCTATGATGAGCCTCAGACTCCTAACTCTGAGAGATACACAAGCAGGACACAGTTGCCCTCGTACCTCACTTTAATTCTGACAACAGATTGAGGGGTAAGTTTCCCTGTCCAGTCGTGTTTGACGCTAGGGTGAGGTGCTCATCTCCATTTCTTGGCCAAGGGAGCCCAGGGTTGACCAAAGACATTTTCTGTGGTCATGTGGCCAGCATGGCTGTATGCCGAGGCACATTGAATACTGTTACCTTCCCACTGAAGTGGTACTTATTTATCTACTTGCATTTGTATGCTTTCAAACTGGTAGATGGGCAGGAGCCGGGGCAAGGAATGGGAGCTCACCCCATTGTGTGGTACTCAGGTCTTGAACTTTATTATTACCTTTAATGTCAGGGTACAATGTATAGAGTATAATGAGGTTGGCTAACAAGCACTTTAACCACTGAGCCATTGCGGCCCCAATTGCACCATATGATTATTCCATGAATTGGCTGAACTCTCTTGTAAAAACCTTCCAAATTGGTGGTCATTCCTATCTGATATAGCTGCAAATACCTTTATTGCCTTACGGACAGATTCCAAACTCTGTCCTTTTTTTCTTTTCTTTTTTCTTTTTTGGTAATCTGAATGTTTGTTTCTTTAGCAGTGTGCTGTGATCCTAGACTCTAAATTTCTGGGAAGTGGAGAGAAATAGTTTCTATAATAATTTCCCAAATGCAAAATTGGTGTCATTTTACCTGGGTTTTCCACCCGCTAGATTTCAAGTATAAATGACTGTTTTCTAAGTTTGGATGTTACAATGTTGGGTTAAAAGCAGAAATTCCTGATCTGTCCCCCACGGCATAAAAAGGGTGGATCCCAATGTTGGTGGTCTCTTTATTAAAATTTAGTGCACTGTACAGATGTATCTACTGGATTACTGTCGGCCAAACCTTTTAACCCCTTCTTCGTGGTAGAAATGGATCCTTTTTAGCTTGGAGTTGCCACCCGTTGGAGTGAATTTGAATTTGCTACTGTTTCTGACCGTATTTTTCCATTTTTCAACTCTGAATCTCATTAAATATCCTAGTGTCTTCGGTATTCCTTATAGGTATATCTCAGAAGAAGAAAAAGTTATTATCTTACCAACTCTTTCCAAACATCATGCTTTCTGTGTTAAAGTGGATCAAAATCTCCATTCACCTGAATGTATACCAACATGACTGTTTCTGCAGCTCATAAGCTCGTGCATGGATTCACATATTGCTGTTGCGGGATTATGGCTTGCTGTGTTGTGTGAATCCAGATAGCAGGGTTTTATAACCATAGCTTCCACCTTAGTTTGTCATGCAAAGCCAGTCAAATAGGATCAATTTACACCAACTGCAAGGTAGTCCAATGATATTTCTGTGTTTTGTGTGTGTGTGTGTCAAACCTTAATGTACGTACATACCTCCCTGAAAGCTTTTTTGCACTAATCAATTAGGCCAGCTGAAGTTACACAATCGTAAACCCATGCCTTTCTTAGAACTGTTTATCTGGAAGAATCATTCAGATGTATGCGACCTGACGAAGAGTTCTAGGAAATGCAGCAATTTTCAACGATTACACAACTTGGGTTGGCTGTATAAAGACATTTATCATATTAGATTTTTTTTTCTCATTTCCAAGAAGTTTATTTTTTTATGATTCCATATAGATCTCTTAACATGGACTCTCTCTGTATCCAAAATGCGGTCTGTGTTTCTTTCCAGAGATGTCTGGATCATCAGCCTTCTTCTCTTGATGTAATGCAGCTTCTTTATAATACAAAGAGAACAGGGGTGGGATGCAAATATTTTTATTACTGGTTTTGTGGGCATGGCTAGGTAGGAGTGGCCATGTGACTGGGCGGGTGTGGCTTCTTTTTTTGTGCAGCAACCCCCACACGCATGTGTCATTTTTTTTCTTTTTTGGCCTCCTGGGCCCCAGGGAAGCCTCCAAGGCAAAGCAGTAAGACAGCGACGGGGATCCCCGCACAGCTGATCGCTGGAACAGCTAATCATTGGGAGGAAAAGAAAATACGGCTTTAGCTGAACCAGTAGCTGTTTTTTTTTTACTACCGGTTCGGCCAAACCGTAGCATTTTTTACTACTGGTTCGCTTGAACCGGCAGAATCCCACCACCGAAAGAGAGGTCCAATCAGAGAAGAGGCCAGGAGATCCTCAGGTTCAAGTGTGGTGGGATCCGTAGAAGAGAATATTTGTAGTCCAAGATTGAACAGTGGGGTGATATTACCTAGTGTAGTGATGAAATGTCTGAAAGAAAACCATCAAGCCCAGAGAACACCAAGGACCTCACAAATATGGTGGAATTGGAGGCAGGCCAGGATCCGCCCCCAAAATATCCTCCAAATGGGTAGAGAAATCCTTGCTCTCCTGGGAATTCCCATGGGGGAGGGTGATGGGGGG